GAAGTTTTTAGGGTACTTTAATATATTCTGGTAGTTTAATTAAGTTGTTCTTTCCTAATACAAACCTTGTAAAGTTTATGTTTCTCAACCTTTCTTAAACAGCCTTCCTTTTGAAGAATGGAAGCGGTTTGTGACAGATAGAGGTTGCATTTGGGTCAGGATTTCAGTTTATCTCCTGAGCCTACACTTGACCCAGTGTCCTAGTTGTTCCTGTTCGATGTATAGTGTGGGGTGATTCTGCAGCACACAAGCTGGTTTACTTTTCTGGTGAAAGTAAATTAAAAAGATCCAATCTCAATGTTACTGAGTGTTCAGTTCACTGGGCCTGAGCAGAGCTACTCTGAAACATTAGGAATAATGTCTTCTTCCCTCCCTAAAAGTGTGTAGTGCCAATGCCAGGTCCTCAGTACTGAATTCTGGTGAGTAGATAGAGATCACACAGATGCAGGGTGTCCCCTTGCACAGCCCATGGGGGGCCACAGTGGAGCAGGTATTCACACTGCAGCCTGTGCGGGGCTGGAGCAGGCAGACATGCCCTGAAGGAAGCTGCAGCCCATGGAGAGCCTGTGCTTGAGCAGTGTTTACTTAAAGGATTGTAGCCCATGAAGAGACCAATGCTGGGGCAAGGAGAAGGTGGGACATGCTATTATGGACTGACCATAACCCACCATTCCCCATCTTCACCCAAATTTCTTCACCAATAGAGTTGCCAGGCACTGGAGCAGGCTGCTCTGGAAAGTAGTTGAGTCATCATCCCTGCAGGTGTTTCAAAAACATGTAGACACATGGTGCTTAGGGAGATAGATGGTTTAGGGGTGGGCTTGGAGGTGTTAGGTTAATGGTTAGACTCAATGACCTTAATGGACTTTTCCAAGCCAAATTATTCTATGATGCTATCTCCCCCTGGGGAGAAGCAGGGAGGTGGAGGTATTGGGAATGAAGGAGTGAAGTTGTGTGTGGGAAGAAAGGTAGGTTAGTTCTTGTCTTTCTCATTTTTTTTAATTGGCTATAAATTTAATTTCCCTGAGACAAGTCTGTTTTACTTGTAATGACAATTGGTAGGTCATCTCACTTCTATCTTGACTTCTGTCTTCATTTTGCTTCCACTCTCCGTCCTATTGAAAAATGAGAACGAGAGCGCGGCTGGGTGGGTGAGCGGCAGCCAGCCAGCCAAGGGCAACCCACCATACTGTGTACCTAAAATACATAGTTCAACTTAAAGGTTGAAAGAATTAATTTTTTTAAAAAACGTAAACTAGATCATTTTGTTTGTATTATGAATACGAATAAGAATTTAGCTATCACATTTTGTGAGCCGGTAGTAACATCTTGTTTAGCAGATGAAGTTAAAACACTCTTATTAGTCCACTCTCACTAGAGGCATACAAATCTACTTCTTCCTTCAGATCTCTAGTGCGGTGGCTGAGTATTCTGTAACAGGATTACTTGCCTGCTCGTGCCCTGCAATGCTTGCTTTGTCGTGCCAGCACTGTTGAGCAGCACCGCAAAGAACGGGATTGGGAAACTGATCCAGATGATTGTTTTTCCTCATGGCTGTTTTCCAGCTGTATATCTTTCTTGATCCAGTTTACACCTCAACTCTGCAAAAACCTTTTGCTGGCACAATGGAAAGAATGGAGCAGCATGGGCAGGTGAGGCATGCACTGAAGTGGGTGTTGCTGCTGGAATCATGTGTCAGGGAACGGATGAAGAAAGGCTCTGTCTATCAGGATGGTGTTCAGGGGTCTGTGAGATAGAGATGTGACTCTTTCCATTAGAGACTGCAGATAGATACAGGCCATTGTTCTCTTTTTAAGTCCCAGACACTATAGTCAGTGAAATGACTTTCGAGTCAAATAGTTCTTTTTCCCTTGATCTTTCCTATGAAATTTTTCTGAGTTTTTCCACAGCAACTTTTGCCTATGTGGCTAGAAATGTTTAGTTTATATCTACATTTACTGTGAGATGACCTAGTTCTGTATTATACGACTCCTGATTATACCTGTCTTTTGCTCTCTTTCCTGTTGCTTGGACAAATTGATCAGTTCTGCAGCACTCAATTCCTTGGTCCTTTTACATCCAGAATAAATGTGATCCTTGGCAAACTGTCTTCCCTGAAGTTCAGCAACCGTTAAAAAAATAAGCCAAAAATACGTAACTTCTCTATTCCTATGTGAAATAACAATTTAGCAATCAATTAAAACTAAACCGAAACCAAACCAAAAACCAGACCAAAACCAACCACCCAACAAATATCACCCCTCAACCACAAGCACCAGGACTAGCTAGACTTCTTAATCAAGGCAACAAAAACCCTTTAACAATGGGTTATCTGAGTCCTTTTAATGCACCTGCTCTTGGAGATTACAAAAAAAATAGTGAAATGGTTCAATACAATTCAGAGCAGTGAGGCAGCTACCATGGGATCATAGCTAATACTATCTTTCTGAGTGTTACAGATAATCAACAGATACCAGACATCAAAATCTCAGTGTACATAACAAGAAAGATAGCTTTCTCCTTGATATTAACCCTCCAAGTTGGGAAGAAGGTCATTGATGGAGTTGTGTGTGGGAGAAAATGCATGGCTGATTTCCAAGTTCTTGTTTTGTAGAAAAATAGCATTTTTAGTTGTTACCAGGCAACAAATACTTTTTAAATGTAGGAGGTTAGTTAGAAAGAACAATTATGGTACAAGAGGTATGTTGCCTGGCATTTGGAGTTGGCAAATAACATTACATGTTATAGGACTTGCCTGTGCCAGACCTTCCGAATTCCAGCACAGACTTTTTGGTCAGGGTATGGATGCCACCTTAGTCATGAACTACTCCAGGTATTACAATGTCCTTTAGTATAATACCAGCATGTTCAGGCGTTTTGTTGTCACTGAAGGCTATCTTTGACTGCCTTGAAGAGCTGCTCAGGTCTCTGCAGTGCTGTGTGCAGTCTTTGCTCCAAATGTATTATGTTTTCCAGCTATAACTAAGTATTTATTTCAGTGCTTATGCATCAGGAATGTTTTTAATCATGTAGCCAGAAATCTTCCTAAATACATTTATAATCAAGGCTGGCAGAGGATGTAATGAGAAGCCCTTTTGGTTAGGAGAGGTGAACATGAAGTTATTTTATTGGCGTTCAGAGAGACCTTGACAAGCTGGAGAAAGGGGCCAACAGTAATCTCCTGTAATTGCACAGAGGGAATGGTGGTGTCCTGCACCGGTACAAGCTGGGGACAACTGTCTGGAAAGCAACTTTGCCAGAAAGGAGCTGGGCAGTGATATCCTGGGCTGCATTGGAAGCATTGCCAGTTGTTTGGGGGAAGCTATTCTTCCCCTCTACTCAGCACTGGTGAGACCACACCTAGTGTACTGGAACCAGTTCTGCACTCCCCAGTGAGAGAGAGATATGGACATGCTGAGTGTGTCAAGTGAAGGGCTGCAAATGTGTTTTAAGGGATCTTAAGGCATCTGGTATGAGGAGAGACTGAGGGATCTGGTGGTGTTTAAGCCTGGAGAAAAGAAGGCTTGGTTGGGGCAGAAGCATCTTAAGAGCGCATATAAATACCTGATGGAGGTGGTAAAGAGGACAGAGCCAGGCTCTTTTCAGTGGTGTCAAGTGATAGGACAAGAAGCAATAGGTGCAAATTGAAATACAGGAACTTCCACTTAAGCATAAGAAGAAATATTTTTGCTATAGGGATGATTGAACACTGGAACTGTTTTGTGGAGTCTGTGTTCTTGGAGGTATGGTCCTGAGCAGCTGACTAGTTTATCCAGCTTTGAGCAGTGGTGGCTGGAGTAGTTTCCAGTGGTTACTGCCGACCTCAGCTATTATGTGATTCTGTGAAATGATCAGACAAGAAGGCATTTCCTTCAGTTTTGCCTCTTCAACTGTTCATTTTTGTTCACTGCAGGTGACTCAACTGTTGGACAATAGTGACTAATAGGTTTATAGTGAATTTAGCAGTCATTACCAAAAGCATCCCTTCTGGAGAGGGCAAAGCCTGTTCTTCTTCCTCACTAGTTTCAGTGTGATCTGTGGGTTTTTTTGCTGGTTTTTTTTTTTTGTCAGGGCGAGTGACTGGGAAAAATCTGTGTTGTTCCAGCCTTCTAGTGCTCATTTTTAGCTTGTGCTACAGACTGAATGCCAATGCTTCTCTCTTCTATTGCTCTTTTTTTCTCTTTTTTTTTTTTTTTTTCCCCAAACAGCAGCAGAATTTGATATTTTATTTTATTTTTTAATAAACTTGTGGCTATTCACTATGTTCAGAATGTATGGTTGGAAGCTGTGACTGATGACTTTCACTCTGCTGTAGCTTGGCACAGCTGTAGGAGTAAGTAGTCTTGAGAACTCAGTTTTTGTGGAAGGCTGGGTAGAGCACATGCTGGTTGGTTACATCTGGTCAGTCTGTGGCATGTTTCTGGAAAAGTCAATATATGAAGCAGTATAATCTTCAAAAATGGTAACAGATTTTCAGGAAGGTAGTGGCATCTATCCAAGAGAGCTTAATTTTTTCCTGTATAAAAAAGAATAGAGATAAGCACTTATCTTTTCCACTGTACAAGGTGTGTAAGTCAAACTGCCACACACAGTTGAATACAGTAGACTTTGTGGTAAGAGGTATCTTGATAGTTTTAATCCAGAGAGAAAATTCTAGATTGCCTGTGTATTTTGATATATGTATTTCTGATCCTTTAGCTTGTTGTTAAAGGATTTCTGATTTTCTTTCTCTGATTTGTATAGATGGGAAGAAAACACAGCATTCTCACCTTTTCTTGCTGAGAAAAGAGAACATTTCAGGAACAGACTGAACTGGGGATAGGAGGTCAAGTTAATAGTCATTTCCCCTCGGTCATGTAGGCTGACAGGGTATCACTAGCAGCCTTTCTTTATTATTAGCTTTTTAGTATATGATTTCAAATTATAAAGGTATGTAAAGAGAAATCTGTGTATTGCAATAGAAAAGTTGTTAATCTTTTGTTTTCTTTCTCTCTCCACAGGTATCAAGCATGATGGGACTATGTGTGATACTTGCCGACAGCAACCCATCATTGGCATCCGATGGAAATGTGCTGAATGCACCAATTATGATTTGTGCACTGTTTGCTATCACGGGGACAAACATCACTTGAGGCATCGTTTTTACAGAATTACCACACCAGGAAGTGAAAGGTAAAACATTTTTCCCCCCCATGAAATTAAATTATAACACTTAATTGAGGTTAATACTAAACTGCAGATTTTGTTACTGAACTTGGAATTAGGTAAGATAATGGCTTGAGGTGTAGATTCTGTTACTGATTCTGCCTCTCTGTGAGGGAGGGTAGCTAGGACAGATCTTCATAGCTTGGAAAACACAGAAATTTTTGAAAGAATGGAGTAAATAAAAAAAGGATATGATTATTCAGTTTCTTTTGAGCTCATTGCAGTCATCATAGTTCTTGTGTTATCGTGTAGCAGTTTTAAAACAAAAGCAGTTATCTTTACACAATACATAATCACAAAATTTGTCGATGGATTCCTGAATGTGAAAGTTTAATTAGGCTCAAAAAATGGTGTAGACAGATTGAGGGAAAATAACCTGTGGGCGATGAAAAACAATGATCTGGAGACAAAGCCTTTGACTTGAACTGCTTAAGCTGCTTACTGCAGAAAGCAGAGAAAAGATGCTGTGCAGGTTGTTCTGCCCTTGCCTGGATTTTCATGTTCTTTGTTAAGCATCTATTCTTGTCTCCCAGTAAAGAACTGAACAGAATGGTCTTTTATCGTGTCCTTGCATAGCTGTTCTTGTGTTCTTGGCTTTAAATAACTTGTCTGAATCCATAGCCCTTCTCTGTCATAATTTATCAACCAATTAAATGAGAACAGTGATACTCTCCTGTTGCTAAATGCTTGGAGAACTGTGGTAAAGCGTTGTGTAAAGGTATATGCTGTGCTATCACCTCTATGATAACTCTCCAGAATGCTCTTTCATTAAATTATTGGAAGCTTTTATATTAGATGTGATTCTGAGTTAAATGTGGCGTGTGTAAGACTTCTCTTCTTGGAGAAGTAAGGTTTACAAATATGTTGTAGTTCAGTGATGTGTGTGCTTCGTCAGTGCTTTTATAGTAAAGGGATGTGGTTGGAGCACACAATGAATTCTCGTATGGTGTCATGTAGGGACTGTATTTATTTTCTCAAATGTTTGCCTTGAAGTTTAACTATGGCTCAAATGCCGAGGTCAGTGGCTTAATCAAAAATCAGCTTCTCAGTTTTTTGAGATTGATGGCAGCAGATCTAGGTACCAAATAGATATAATAAGCTTAGTGTCTCAATTATGATGTTTAGTGCAGAACGAGACTTTGAAGTTAAATCCAAGAGTAGAAAGTGCTCGCTTAGTGTAATTAAGTGATCTGTTATGGTGTATAAAGTGTAAGTTTTAATTTTGGAGATAGACTGTACACAAGGTATAGAATTGCAGGAGATGTTTTGTGTCTTGTCACTTTCTCCCATGAGCTCTGTTTTGCAACTCTTTATCTAGAAGGCAGCTTCGTCTGCCAAGGAGCTGTTTCTATTGGATCAAGCTTAGCTGAGAAGAATTGATTAAAGTTAACTGAGGGAGGAGAAAAGGGCAAAGCAATGCTATTGAAGTTGAGGGATATTTCAAAGTAGGAAAAATGGCAAGAGGCATCTAAGGACATTCGGATGAAGAAAAGCATAAGCTCGAACTACTTTATTCTTGAGCTTCGTATATCACACAGGTAGCATACGAAAGTAATGCATGCTGGTTTTTGTCTCAGTTTCATAGGTCTTGGGGACTTTCTAAAATGCTTCTATATACAGAGTATCTTTCTGTTCCCTATCACTCTTTCATATTAGATAAAACCGGCAAATATTTCCATGTACTCTTTGTGTTGATTGCGGTAGTTTAACTTTTTCCTTGTCCGCCATCTGCTGGATGTTAAAAGCTTAGCAGGAGGGTGATACACTTCCTGAAGAGGTCAGGAAACATTCAGAATTTCAGCTGGAAAAATACTTTTGTCTGGCAGCATTTTCTTGGCATGAAGTAGGAAATCTAGTTGCATGCAAACTAGTAGCTTTTGAGATGGCTGAAAAAGTAGGAAAATGTCTCTTTGTTGCTATTTGTAAGTTAAATACTCATGCATTGCTCAGTTTGGGATTATGTATTTAAGCTCTGTTTAAAGCCAG